TTCTGGTCCACGGGGACCAATACAATGACCTGTTGCTCAGGCTGCTGCGAGCACGTCAATTGCATCTGGTTCAAACCGGTCAGCATTTCGGACGAAATCAGCGACATCCAAAAGGGGGAAACTATAGATCGCGCTGGAGAACCTCTGGCAATACAGTAATCTGCGTCCACTTGCTGTTTGAGCTCAGCGTGCTGCAGGACAAAAGCTTGCAAAGTGTATCACAGGATTTGAAGGCCCTTTCAAGTGCATCAATCATCAATCCGTGAGCTTGGCCAAACTGCATTCCGAGATGCCTTCTGGAGCTGCTTGAAGGGTGCTTGCATTCGTGACCTGAGACAGAAAGACTGGAGCACTTGGCCAGCTTGCCCAGTCAAAAGCAAATGGAGGTGCACCTCAGGGAGGAACGTAACTACCTCACCCCATGCATATTTTTTCCTAGCTGATGTCGTTGATGTGTCGACCTATCAGAGACAGGCACTGGCTTCTGCAGTTTGCCTTGCGAAACTTAAGAATGCAACGAATTGCTGGCTTCTGCAGCCACAAAATTTCACAGCTACAGGTTGCAGGTGGATTTCTCAGCGGCAGTTCGAGGTCTCTGGCACTGCGATGTCCGTTCCAGCACACTGCTTTACGTATACCGTCCTTGGTGAGAGCCAGACTTCTCAGAATATGTTACTGCAGTCCAAATTGAAATCTGCGTACAGGTTTGGATGAGGCTGGGCCATGCTGGGCCCAACTTTTTCCTTGGGACCATGCAAATCAAGTCGGTGGAAGCAAACGAAGGGTAGCATTGTAGCATGGGAATCAAATAAGTTAACAGTTATCAGAATCAAGGTGCTGGGTCCACAGCTGAGAGAAGCGCAAACACTCCAATCTTGATGGCAAGGGGCTGTGGAGCAACGCAATCCAGACATCCTTTACCACACCAAGAGCCCCAGAAGCACTTCCACCTGAGGCTGTCATGGAGTACGGGTTGCATTTACACCATCATGCACCTATTCATGCGCACAAATACGGCTGCCTGTATAAGCGACACAAACAGGAAGAAAGAAGAGAGAATAGACAGGTACGGTGTGTCCATACACAGCTAATGGTTGATATAACCTCTCACTGCCATTCTGGGCATCAAAGGAGTGTGGCAACAAAATGGCCAAGCCCCAAGTCATCATGATCAATGCAAAAACGGCACTGTAACTTCTGCGTCTTAAAGCATTCAGAGGGAGAAGAGTCTATCTGTTCACACGTTTGAGGCTCTTCCTGCTTCTTGCTTTCTCAGAGGTTCAGGCGGGTTCCCTAATCCTGCCTTTTCCTTTGTTCTCAGCTGGTTTTTCTCTTTGTGCTTCCCTTTTTTTCATCCTTTGCTGATCTACAGCTCTACAGCCAAAGTCGCTTGCAATTGTTGGCCCCATACTGTGCCGAGATGGCGAAGCAGTCGGAGCAGCTACTGGAAATGCCTGTCTCCTTCACTACGCAGTTGTTGTATCGGTTGCCTCAAGTGATCGCTACGCTGTGACTATGTCAAGCATCCGAACCCGAAGCAAAAAAAGCAGCCGAAGATCGATTGAAGCCGGAGAAGATGTTGTAGTTCTTCTTTCCACACGAGGACAGTTTTCCAGGAAAACTGTGTGCATCATGGCCTCTCCAAGTTTAAATTTGATTAAAGTATATATCTACATCTATATATACACAACTATATTGTTCTCCATTCCGCGTCCACCATGCAACACTTACTGCCTCCGCCAAGCAGGGTCATCTTTGCTTCATCTTGCTTCGTGCCTGGGACACGATGCCAGGTCAGAATAACAAGTCTTGAGAAACTGAGTGAGTGATATAAGAAAACTTTAAAATGGGGATATCATTAAATGGGCCCTTACCTTCTCATACGTGTCCTTTTTAAAAACCACCATTTATCTCAATGTACCAAGTGTTGCTCAGGCGCATTTGCCGACTGCCACCGCAGCTTTCAACTTCAAGTTCGTAGTGTTTGTAGCATTCTGGTGCGCATCTCCCCTCAAGTTATCCGCTGAAGAGCCTCCACCAGCTAAAAGACCGCGCAAGTTGCAAGGTCATTCATTGTTGGGACAGACTACTTAAGTCAAACTGATGTTTAACAGCAAAATCAACCGAACTCCTCAATTTCCTGCCTGAGAGAAAAGTCAAAAGCACCAAGATCTGCAACATCATCGTGGCTGGGGTATGGGACGGGAAAAGGCGACCCTAAATAATGCAAAAATGGCTCCGATACGGATACTCAAAGAAACATGGGGCAGCACGCATGCTCAATCATTGCATTTATCGCCTTCTCAGTAGTTTTTCTTTCACGTCTCAGCAGGTAAATAATCGATTGAACCCTGGGCTCTCTACGCGTGTCTGCTGTCCGTAAGCATAGTCACAGGTGCAACCACCGGTGCAGTACCAGCAGGTACTGCGTGTCACACTTGTGCCCTTGGTAGCTCAAGCTCATACATGCATATATGTGGGTGACACAGTAAGCAGACATCTGCATCACGCGAAAGAATGCTCTCTTTCAAAACGCAGGAATACGGACAAGGACAGGATGGGTGTGGTTGGGTCTCCGGCCTTTGTATTCCGTAGTTCCACCCAAGGCCTCAATTCAAGTGAATTTGAAGAGGTTCATGCTGCTTTACAATCATTGACAACTTTTTCCACTTCTGTTCAGACAACTGCCGGCCGGAATAACCGAAAGGCAAATCCCCAAGTCCAATGAGGGCGTGGCGCTACCTCCAGCAACCGCTCGAAGTAGCTCTGGGAGCGTTCTTCTGAGATGGCCTGTCAGCTCATACAAGTTCAACATGGAAAATCATACAGAATTCGAACGTATCTCTTAGAAAAAATAAAGCAACTAAAAACTAATATTATACTAGAAGTGGAAACCAACCCAACAACAACCAAACAGTCAACACAAGTTGAGTACGCCGTGACCGCGACGAGGCAGCGGCTGCGGGCGCACCTTTTACCATTTGAGCCAAAAGTACAAGTTGTTCATGAACTGTGCATACATATGAGGTGTACTGTACACAGGAAACTTCAAGTCCCCCGTCATAGTGTGATGAACAACTGTACAGCTAGAATTACAGGTCTGAGACAGTCGCTTCATTGTGACCTTACGATTCCTATCGAAAGACTGTCGGCGAGCACAACAGGCTTACGAATGGACCTAGGGAGCGGCGCTTTAAGCAGCCGAACACCCTTCTTGCAAGCTTCATGCATTGTCTAGACTTTCATTCAAGGCGGATCTAACTTAGTTGGAACCTGCGGCTGGTTATTGCTTAGCTCTAACCATTTCTTCATTGCAGATCAAGCTTAGCATCGAACTGCGGCAGACTATTGCTTAGCTTTAGTCATGCGAACTCCTGCCTGCATCAAAGGACGGGAGCGGACTCAGGGAGAACTGCAGCAACTCCAATGCATTTCCCCATTTAGACAACGGCAATCCTTTAGTGAACACGTCGCCCTTCTGCTGAGTCGTTTCGATATGCTGGACTGTGATGTCATCAGCATTGTTAACTGTTTCGGCAGTCGAGGCCACATTTATGCGGTGGGTTTTACTCAAATGCCTTAATTTATTGGAGTAACCTTTCTGGACAATCGAGACCACGGCCGTATTGTCTTCGAAAACCTTCAGGGTCATTCCGGGGATCAACGCTTGCCATACCTCCAAGGTAGGGATAGCCTCGGAGAATAAGGCACTGGAAAGCGAGACGAACTCGACCACGCTTTGCCTCTTAGAGCCCCAACTCACCGGCGCAAAGCTGGAGGGACCCGAAACCGCAAGGATGAATCCAGAGGTTGATCGCATGGGTTTGATGTCACCACCGAAATCAGCATCGCAATACAGAGACAAGTTCAACTGTTCTGGCGGATCACGAATGCACATTATCGGGGAGTATTCATGGGTCTTCTGCAAGTACCCAATGAGTCTTGCAACTCTTTTGTCGTCGTTGGCCGACCACACCGTAATGTGTTTGGCCAACAGAGTGACAGCAAATGTGACGTCTGGTCTGCCAATGCGACAGAGCCACATCAACTTCATAATTAATTTGGCCGAATGTGGCGAGAGCTGCCCTTTGATCTCGTCATCAGCAGGGATTAGGGCTCCATCGTCCCATGAGGGCGAGGAATAGGCCTTCACCGGCGTTTTCGCCAGCTCTTCATATACAGTTCAACGCACTGTCTCGCGAAGTCAGATGATTCTAAGGCTAACGCTTTGCTCCCTTGAAACCACACAAGCCTATGGTTTCGTCCTAAGACTCTACCATATTCTGACGGTGGATCTAAATTTATATACTGCTTGAGGGTTTTCCAGAATCCCTCGTGCTCGGAAGCTTTTCCTGAGAGAGTGAGGTCGTCCACATAGACGCTCATCATCAAAGAACGACCGAAACGAAAGACCGAAGGCATCTCGCTAAACTCGACACCATTGAGTTTGTCTTGCAAGATTCTGGAAAGATGCGCCTGCCAGTGCGCAGACGACTCTGGATGGCCATAGAGGCTTTTGTACAATTGGGCGCAGGGCTGATGGATGTGCCTCTTGGAAGGTGGGACTAGCTCTGGGGGTAGCATCACAAACGTTTTGTGTGTTGTGGCGAGTGCAGATTGTATATAAGCACGCACACAGTCAGACGTGGTGCAGCTATTTCCCTCGATCATCGAAAATGCGATGACGGTGTTCAAGGCCGAGATGGAACTCGGTGCGGACGAAGCCAAATCTTGAAAAATTGCGCTCAGTCCTCCTTGATCTTTGACCGCGTCACCACGGAAGACTATCCGGGCCTTCAGTTTCCAGTCAGCTGGGGACTTTTCGTACCCCTTCACACTGACGATGACCATCAGTGTAAAGTCTCTGCAGGGAATTCACGAATCACGTCCGCCTTGGCTCTTATCTCGCTCTCAATCCAAGTCCCCTCAGAGACTAATCCGTCTTTCTCACTTTGGATGGCAACATACACTTCTGCTCTGCCCTTCCATTCGTCACGCTCCAACAAGCGGTGGACATAAGCTGGCGTCACAAAAGTTTTGCAACCGCTTTCGTGCATGATCACATCGATTGGAACGCATGGCATTCCCTTAACACGATGCTGCCGATGTGCATGGTTAGCACGAGGTGCACATGGCATGCAAAACACATGAGCATTGATGACATGTGGAAACAAAGCGTGCAACATGATTTGGCACAGAGGCTCAGGATAGAAAGCTGAATTTCGAGTGTACTTCCCTTCAAGGGGTGCATGCTTGTCATGCGTGCACTTCAGCATTCCCAAAGAATCAGCCAACCTCTTATTGTTTGTGACAAACCTCCACGGCTTTCGAGCGGGTTTGTTGTCCTTGGCAGTGATACCTACGGTGCAGCCATCGAAAGTGGCAGACAACAGTTGCCTTTCTGTGATCCAGGAAGCCAGGGGTTCACTCATCCACCCTGAACAATACCTCGGCCACTCAAAAGACACAAAACCACCATTATCAAGAACATGGTTTGCAACCCTGATGAACGAATGCACCATTGAAACACTTTCCCTACGCTTCTCTCGAAGGATGTTGGACAATCTTGGGTTCTTTGCTTCATTCAACCTTTGCCAAGCACTCCAGGGACCACATTCAATGGAGCCATGGATTGAACAACCAGGGATGGCCTTCACTTGCTCAACAAGTTGGTCGATGTTCACCTTACTTGCAAGATCTATGTGTTCCCTACAAAGCCTTACAACTTGAATCCCAAGCTCTTCACCAATCCTACCGAGTGCTGAGTCTGAGGCACAGGCAAATTCAAACAAAATCTTGCCACCTGGGGAATTGTGGATCTGACTGTGCAGACGCTCCGGCTTTGCAGCTGCTCCAAGACAGTTTTCATTGCTTGCAGCGACTGCTGCTGCATACGTTTCTTGCGCGAACGTTTCTGGAGCTTTCCTGGAAATGGCATCATGAGACATGGCAAGGACGGCATTAATGCCTGCATGGACTCGAGCTTCCTCACCCTCAGGTTCATTTTCCTCATCAGAGGGCGGAGGACATACTGGGACAATCTCCTCTTCATCCTCTTCGGCCTCTGACAAGACAGTTGGGGTGTACTCTTCATCAATCAAGTCTCCTAGGATCTCCGGCATTTCGAAGGTCGGAGGCTCAGGCGCTGGGGTCGAAGGAGCAGCACCGAGTGCTTCCTCATACCGGGCAATGCATTCGGCATTGTGCGCAGACGAGTCAGCATCACAACCTTTGCATCCCTTGGTTGGACCGATTTTCAGCATTCTACTGTACGTGATGTAAACCCTACGCGCTTTAGACTTAGTCTCTGGGGTATCCTCGATGAAAGGGACTGGCAGAGGATCCACGTCAGCGAGTTGACGAACATCAGGATCCGAGAAGTCATTCAATGCCTTCTCTGCGAGATCTCTCAAAGGAAACACACGCTCATCACGAACATAAACCTCTTGATCTGGGGCGACCACAATGGAAACATGACCTTGCTTCAGGGAATTATAGTCCACAAGTCTCAAAACACCTTTGTACCGACACCCAAACTCAAGCTTCCAACCTCCCATGAGGGCTGGTGAAGAATTGGGGGCGAGTTTTGACTTCTCTTGAAACTTAGTTCTATAGAAAACCAACTGACCCAGAATGTAGTCTGCACCTTTGAACTCAGAACCAAAAGCCTTTGACCAATGCTCGATGCTCATGGAAACGGCTGTGTAATGACATGTCAAGGTCCAAAGCTTTGGGAACACAGCGAATCCTGCTTGCAAGTGCATGCTTCTGCAAGACTCTTCAAAGGACCTGATTTGTCTTTCAAGTACACTGTTGTGAGGCCATCTCCTAGGCAATGATGCGTCTGACAACCAACCGAGTGAACGAATGGCTTTCAGAAGCTCCTTGGCACAGTCTGACTTGCAAATGGTTTGAGGATTCTTGGCCTTTAAACCCACAAAATGGTTCAGGGCTTCCTTGACCGAATCAGTATCTTTTGTTGCCAGGGGGTATGCTTGGAAAACTTTGCTGAACAAGTCCATCACCACAAGAACAACAAACTCCTTCCCTGACGAAGATTTAGAGACGATCATGTGATCACATGCAACTTGCTGGCCGAACGCTTCAGGAACAGGGAGATCACTCTCCTCATCTGCTCTACGACGCTACGATGGGATCTGATGCGTTTTGAGTACAGCCTAGCACGATTGCAAACATCACACAGTGCGGACTTGGGAAAATGAGTCACGCAATGCTTAGTGGACAAGGCAAGTTCCCTTTCACGCACGAACTTCTCAGATTCAGGAACCTTTGGCAAGGCCTCACCTGGAGCAACGCCACGAATGTCGTCTGCAACTGAATGCGGGACCGCACCTTCAGGAGACGGGACCTCGGGTTCTGCTTCAACAGGTTCAACCTCCCCTGGGACACCTGGAATGAAATCAAACGATCTGGAAAAATATGGTACGTATTGATCAACCCTCGATGCTCGAATCAAATTGCTTTCATCCGTTTGGAATTGGAACTGATTGCAGTCTTTTATATAGCATGGGAGTTGATTGGGCAACCGCAAAAACCCCATACCATTGCTGACATCAAGACCAACAGACCGGACAAACGGGCATGAGTCAAGCACGAAGTGATTTGCTTCTTGGAAGATTCCTTCACGATCCCTAAGACCGATTGCTTCGCTCGAATCCCTCTTCCCTCCACCTGTCGAAAACCTCAGGCTCTCATGCGAAGGAAGCTGGAACTGGCTGAACACCTCTGGAGACACTCCCTGCCTTTCTAAGCTCTGCGGAGAGACGAGA